CACTGTGGGAACAGAGAGGCAGTGCTCGCTGCTTGCCAGAGAGTCTGAAGATGAGCCCCAAGGCAGCCCAGGCAGGGGGGTTTGTGCCCAAAGCAGTGTGAGTCATCTGTCTGAGACACTGAGGTACAGCTCAGCTGGACAACACCCAAGCCAAAATGCACACATCTGTAACGGGCTGTGCAGCAGGGAAACCCCTTGGGCACTAGCTATGAAGTCCTCACCATGTCCTGTGTTCCTTCCACTTGGCAACGATGGATCAGTTCTGGCCCTCCTTGTCATAACCTGATGTTATTCTCCATCTTTTCCTTCATACAGAAGATCTTGTATACTCGCAGCCCTGAAGGCTACTGTGGCTTGTAGGTGTTGTCCTGACCCAAGCTTGGAACACTACTGTTCTGCTGTAACCCAGGACACTGTCTTGAACAGGCAGAAGGGAAAAAACCACTTGAATTTGTTCTGCAGTGGAAGGTACCTAAAAGCCAGAGCACACAGGGGCATGAAGAGGTGACAGCAGACCCATGGAAACTCCAAAGCTCAGGCAGGGCTTCCTGCGAATAGCTCTGGGATGGTGCAGGGCACGCAGCTACAGGGGCTCATGCTGGAAGATGGAGAGCAAGTGGGTGGAGGGAACATGTTGTGGAGGGGACGCCTTTGTTGCTTCGGACAGGGTCACTCCAACAAGGGAGGAAACAAATGTGACCTGCATGTGTGCAACCTTCATAACAGGAACCAGGAGTCCCTGCTTTCCTTTCTGTGCAAGAACGACTTAGGGAAAGCTGAGAAAACTCCCTCCTACAGCTCTTGCAGAGGGCTGGAAGTGGAGAGCGGGAGGGCACTCAGACTCCCCGAGATCCCCGTGCCAGGCAGCTCTGTGCTGGGATCATGCAGCTGACCCCACTGAGCAGCAAGTTGTGCGTGAGCTAGAGCAAGGGAAAAACAAGTTGGGGGGATGTGCATGCCCAGAGCATGGGCAACAACTGGCAGGAGAGTCTGAAGCAAACTATAACTTTGCATTTTTTTGCCCACTGGCTAAATGTTCAGTGGTTA